TTATGAACAGTCTGTAATCAGAGGATCAGCCTTCCTGAAAACTGTCCAAATGAAGAAATTACCATGCACTCTGAGCTCTAAACCATTTCCCATGAGCCCTTCCTACCCAGAACCCTTCACACGGCCCATTTATTTGAACTGGCTCTCACCCGCAGTAGGATGCACTCTGAGGAAAAGTCATCAGGTTCTCATTATCATCATTACTATAATTATTTTCTATATTTAACCATGTAAAATGAGGCCAAATGAGTATGTATGAACCACCCCGGGACATGTGTTGCAGTGGTATGGCCCTAATTTTCACACTGCTGGGGTACTGCGTGATGGTCTCACAGTCGGAGCATACCATTTTTTTGAGAGCAGGTTGTGTTTGTTTGGGTTGAAAACATCCTTGTCTCCTTCAAAGCAGGACTGCTCCCTTTGCTGTGGGGATGCAAGTTTCATCTACGTGGTGTGGTTGTGTTTTCTGCCACAGTAGCAGGGAAATTTGAGTATTTGTGAACATGTTTAGTCAAAGCCCCCTTTGTTATTATTATCAGATTGATGTGTGCCCCAGAGAGGCAAAGCCAAAACCATACAGAGGGCTCTTACTGAAAGCAAAGGTGGGGACTTTTTCAGCAGGCAGTGAAGTTACATAAGGGTGTCTTTTAAAATGTTTCGCCTGGTCAGCACATTCATACAAATGAGAGTGCATTTGTAATGTTTATGTTCAGGGGAGACACTGCTGGAAAAAGATATAGAGGTGTGTGAACCACAGAGAGGGACTCAGAGTGGAGGAGTTCAGACGACTGGGTCTTCAGGCTGCGTGTCATGCTCCAGGTGCAACTCTGAACAGCTCAGTTTTCTAATGATAAAGACATAGGAAGCTGTGAGGAAGCCTCTTTTAGGTGAGAAATAGAAGCTACAATTTAGGAACTAATCCTTTTTTTATAATTATGCCCAAATCTGTTAAGGTAGCAGTGCAGCTTACTGCTCAGTTACTGTGACAATATTTTGGAGCATCTTGTGTGTTTTCATAAAAAATGTATTTACAAGTGCATCACATTAGTCAACTACGGAAGAGTATTAGGGCCACTGCATACATTTTTTTTAATTAGGGCCACTGCATAATTTTTTTTTTTAATTCAGACTTTATTCTCTGAATTCTCACACTTCTTTCCTTCTCAGAATTCTGACTTTAAACTCAGAATTCTGAGAAGGAAAGAAGTGTGAGAAGGAAAGAACATTTGGGGCCAATTTCATTTCCCCTTTACTTCCCAAAGCATGTTTAAGGGCAGTTTTGTTGCTGAGGACATCTGCCTTTCTGCTTCTTTAGTCACTGCAGACAGTTAATTGTCCAGCATCAAAATGAAAATCGAACAGAAACCTGCATAAAAGCATTTATTTCACATAATATAATTTCTTTTTCTGTAGGGTTTGATTTCACATCCCTGCTTTACGTTGCTGTTTATGGTGAACGTTGACCAAGGCTGACTTTAAACTCAGAATACTGAGAATAAAGTCAGAATTCTGAGAATAAAGTCAGAATTAATAAAGGCAGAATTCTGAGAATAAAGTCAGAATTAAAAAAAAAAATTATGCAGTGGCCCTAATACTCTTCCGTAGTCAACAAATTAATAAACAAATGGAAAAACCTTTATTTAAATAAAGAACAAACTTCATTAGGTTAAAATAAGGTAAAATCTGATCAAGTTGAACAAAAAAGAAAAAGAGGTAAAAGTACAAGACTGAAAATTTTGTATCCAATATTGTATTTATTTTGTTGTTGTTTTTACTGTCAAAGCCGCTCTATAAACCTGCTGCCCTGTGTTTTTTCATTAAGCTTTGAGGTCAAGACAAGAAACACTTCATATTTACATTAGGAAGCAGCAGAACGCCTCTTATTTCTCTGGAAGCTCGCGCTCATCTGTGGGTGAAGCAGAAGGGGCCCTCCCTGCCTGCCTGCCCGCCCGTGGACAAATGGCAAACATGTGTGTTTATAGGAAGATCAATGGCGAGTAATGGAGTCACTGTATTGTGACTAACCAGTGTTTATGTCAGAGATCTGACGACCAGTTTAATAGTCAGTTTCACCTGCTCCAATTACAGTGGAGCGGCGGACTGAAGCAAACAAAAACACGATGACAGGAGTTGAGTCTGCCCCCTCCGCATCACTTCAAAAGGGGCTACATGTCGCTGTTAGCCATTACAGCTAACGACCTGTTTGTTCAGTATGTTTACTGTTGTGCATGATCCTTCAGATTTATAATTTCAGCCATTATGTTTGAAATTTAGTCCACCTGTGACTCACTATTCACTGGTGCTATAAAAGTAATATCCTTTTCTATTGCCTGTATGTTTACCTACCCACAAGCTCAGCACCAATGAAAACTAACCAACAATGAGAACGAGAGCCAAATGTGTGAAACTGTGTCAAACAGTTGTCTTTTGGGATCCATGTGGTGCCCAGACTCACCGCAGCAGATGATACTGCACTTTTTGTATTAAATGCTGTGTTCATGTTTGCTGCAGCACAAACTCTGATGTGCGGTGGCAGTGAGGATTACAGAGAGCAGTCTTTTCAAGCTAGCAGTAATCAGCCTTCAAGATCAGTATTGTAACAGCTGTAGCATTTAACAACTAATATTAGCTAAAAAATGTTGACATTGGTTTTACTTCCTGATTTTTGGGACTCCCATCTTTTGGTTCAAAAGAAGATATTTGCTCTGTGAAGTTGTGATGGCCTTGATTTTACATTACTCGGGCAATGATAAATTAGTTAATGATTAAGTGAATAAGCAGCCAACTTACTTGAAAGTTTTTTTTCAAGTTTATGATCTTATTGCCATAATTTGGCACAGCAACTTTTACATTTCTTCTACAGTTTTTAGGGAAATTCTCTGCCTCTCACAGATGCCTCAGAGTTTCTATGCAAAGGATCGTCCTCTGTTGCACAAGTAAACATCGCCTCATGTGGGCTGTGGTATTTTTTTGTTCACCGTCTTCATGACTTATAGTCATGTTGACAAGTCTCATCTCTTTGATGATGCTTTTGTGAACAAAACCACAAACACGGCAAAATGCTAATGGTCAAATCGTATACACACACACCTCTTCATGAGCAGGTGGCACTCATAAGGCTGAAACAAGTGATTCACAACAAAGTTTTGCAGTTAAGAGAGTTTGGTGAATCTGATCAAACTCCACAGACCAGCTGTTCTTGCATGAGGCCCAGTGTCTGCTTTAAACTAGTCCCTCATTTCTCAGAACAAATGTATTCAGTCTCTAATTAAAGCTGTGGTATAATCACAGTAATCAGCATCGTGTTTCCTCATGGACGCTTCTCCCAGCCCTGATCAAATGATTAGGCTGAGCAAACCTCTAGGTCTGCTGCTACTAGGCAAAGTGACCTCTGGGGTCACAATCAAACCCACAGCAGCTAGTTGGTGGCGAGGGGGGTGACTGTGGCGACAGGCGTTGCTGACTAATAGTCCTGACAGTGAAGTGAGACATTATCCAGGGAGGCCTGGCCCACAGAGAGAGATAACAAGCAGAAACAGTTTAACGTGGGAACTGCCTGAATCAGGCTGGGTAGGAAAGAGGAAGGCCACAGACGGTTCAAGAAAGCCTCAAAGCTGCAGCAGCCACAATGTGGGCTTCCTGTTTCCCATAGGGAGGTGTTAATAACATGGGCCAAAAAAAGGTACTAGAAAGGTAAGTGAAACTGAGTGACATTTACTTTGAGAAGCTGCATCTACATCTTTGAACGCTTGAAGTCACCTGAAGCGATTTATTATTGTGCATCTGATTAGGAATCCAATTTTTTCCTCCACTCAGTTCATTTCTTCTGAATTACATTCAGCTCACTGTGTTGCAAACGTTCATGAAGATATAAAGGATTTTTGTTTATTTTAAATGTGTAATAGTTACATAAGTGAGTTAAATTAAGACATGAAATGCTACTGGAATAAAATATAAAAAGGATAAATAGTATTAATGGTAAACAAATAAATATATTAACAATAAGGTTAAGCTACTCCAACTTTAATAATGAATAACTCTGTAGATAGGGAGCATCTACTGTCCCTCCCTAGTGTCTTCTTCATTATAAAAATCAAAATCAAGCTGAGAAAACTGGCCACATTAAGGTGTCCTTGAGCAAGGCACAGTTATATTTATGAAGATTACTTGGCTGAAAGTACAGAACTGTTGTTGTGCTGGGCAACTCCCAGGAGTTAGAGCTGTGTGAGAGTCAAGCTGCTGAAAATGAGAATTCATGCACGGTTAACTCCTTCCCTGGATGACTAAAAACTAAAGAGAAAAGATTAAGGCAATTAGTCTTAAATGCCTCTCTCAAACACAGAAGTGGCACACTCCAGGGCTTTTCCTATCTCTCAGATCTGTGGTTCTAAGTCATTATCCCTCGACCCTTCCTGGCCTTTTAGGTAGCTGTGCCCTGGAGCGAGGCTCAAGCTGAGAAAATCCCATCAAGTTCACATTTAGTTAGAATGACATCTGGTGTGGAGCTGCAGACTAATGGCACTGCAGCATGGTAATTTGAAGTTCACCTACATGTCATTCATCCAAACATTTTAAAACTGCCACAGTGCTAAAGGTCTGGGATTGGCTGAAGCCAGTCCAAGCCAACAGTGGGTGAGAAGTAACACACCCTAGGCAGGTTGCCAGTCTATCACAGGACTGACACACAGAGACAGACAACCATTCACATCCACACCTATGGGGAGTTAGAGTCACCAATTAATCTAACCTGCATGTTTGTGGACTGGGAGAGGAAGCTGGAGAAAACTCACACAGCACAGGGAGAATCCATGGTGTCAAAGAGCCTCCTAACAACTGTCAAGCAAGACATGCAGGTACCCCGGTATGAGAGCAAATAAGCAAAATATCAAACCTGGCAAACAGTGTGTGACAGAAGGTAAAAGTAGTTGTTGCTACCTGCATTTTCTGCCATGATAAAGCAAATAATGTGCCTGAAAAATCTCTGATCTTTCTTTCTGCAGAACCTGATGGCCAAAGCATTGTACGACAACGTGCCAGAGTCCCCTGAAGAGCTGGCCTTCCGTAAAGGGGACATCCTGACCGTCATTGAGCAGAACACTGGCGGTCTGGAGGGCTGGTGGCTCTGCTCCTTGCATGGTCGCCAAGGCATTGCACCTGGCAACCGCCTGAAGCTGCTGATTGGACCCATGTTCGAGGCCCAGCAGCCGCCTGCCACCACTGCTGCTGCCCAGTCCCCTCAGAGCTATCAGCAGAAGGCTGGCCCCGGGGCGCAGGGGCTCTACCAGGTGCCCCCTTCCCTCCAGAGTCCACAGCAGCAGAGTCAACAGAGCATCTACCAGGTTCCTCCAGGACAGGCTGTCTACCAAGTCCCACCCAGGAGTACTCTAGCTGCTGATACACCAAGCAAGGTGAGACTTGAGAGTACACTTCCCTAGGGCTGAAACTAATAACCAATTTATTTCTCAGTGAACCTATTAGTTTTATCATTTAATCCTGAGATAGAGAGTCATGCCCCACAAAGAGCCGACAGTTCAATTACTTGGACCTGTGGACTAGTATTTTGCTTGATAATCTACAAATCATTTGAGTCCTGTATTTCTCTTTTTACTTTATTCACTTTAATTGTATGGTAAATGATATGCACATACTCACACTCAGTCCTAAACACTTCCTGATTATGCTAATGATCAAATCTCCTGAATGAGTGTGTCCTCATTTTTGCAGCTAGGAAAGACTAGTGACTATATACTCAAAAAAACGAAGAAGGTTTAGGACAAAAAACATGAAAATAGTCTAGCAGAAGGCTAAGTGCTCAGTGACAGTGATCTACACACTACTGTAATATTGCTCAGATGCAGTGGATGATGACAGAGTGATGGAAAATAAGGGGATACAATGAGTCTGAATAAAGAGAGAAAATGGAGACCGGTCTGTTCCGTGACCTCTGGAGACAGAGCAGATTAGAAACATAACATCATCTCTGGTAGGAGTGTACACTCTGCTGCCAAGTGTGGGTATTAGATGGATAGGACATGGCATTTACGCATTTACACTGTGACCTGTTCTCCTGCCAGGCTGTCACGACTCTCACCAGTGCACACAGACACACACATAGACAAAGCAGCGAGGCTGTGTGTGGGTCTGCAACGTGAAATGTGGACAGGGTGTGCCGGGCCTGGCGTTTACCACAGAGCAGGGTAGTGTTTTTGTGCAGGGCTCCCATTTGGATTTACTTGTATATTGGCACACTGTGTGTAGAGCCAGTCTAAGCCACAGAAGGGCAGTAAATATGGGAAGAACTTGTGGAAAAGCAAACAGCACAGAGCTGGTTTTTGGATTCTGGCAGAGCCCAGCTGCTTGAAAGTAGGTTTCTTCTATATTAAATTCTGCAAACAGGGTCACTTACAAATCCATATACATATATACCGTATATATATGCAGTATGTCCAACATGTATATTTGCTGTTCTGTTGGCTGGATGGTGTATTATTTAAAGCAGAACATCTCAAGCCGTCCTAGAAAATAAAGCCTGTTATAGCACAGAAGGACGTCCAGGTTCCTGTTGAGTTTCACATGTGTTGTGATCAGAAATCATCTGGACAAATATGTTTTCTCTGTGTTTACCCATTTACAACACTGAGGAATAACAAACATAAATGTTTCAGCTAATGCCACAGTGTGCAGGCTCACTGGGAGTCACGGTCAAACCTCTGTTAAACAGGAAGGTAGAATCAGGTGCAGACAATTTAGACTAATCAAAAACTGCCACATATATGATAGATTTCTATAGGAAAGTGTTGCGATGATAATGGAAACACAAGGGGAAAATTCTCCTGTTTAACTAGTTCTTTTCACCTCTGACCAGCTCATCCCTTCTGGAGACAGATAGTAATTATATGCTGGATGAGCTTTTGCTATCCTAAGGGTGTTTTATGATTTCTTTCTTCAACAAATCAGATCCAGCCATCATAGAAATGAGCTAAGGTGTGCGTCAAAGCTAAATAGGCAGCAGGCGCTGGAAGCTTGGAGAACTTCAGGTGCACAGAAATGGTTGTGATAAAGTCAGAGCGAGGGAGCTGAGAGGAGAGACTTGTCAATCAACCTGCACACACAAATGCACACAGAAGCCTCGTCAGCCAACACATCTTTTTCACTAACAAGCCTCAAGGCTTAGCCGTGGACTGGTATTAAAAAGGCATTGGTGATAACATGGAAAATTAAACGGGCTTCTAAAGAGAGTGGGCTCTGTGCGGTAATCATGCTATTTGAGAGATTAAATTAAGTCTTGGAATTTAACTTTCCTTATAATACTTATAATGTGTGGTTATCAAAGTGGAGCAGTTTTCAGCAGTTGTACCTGTCTGTTAAATAAAAAGACTGTAAAAAAAAAAAATGCTTTCAGGAAATGTTATGTTGGTTCATAGAGAGAAGCTGGAAGGATTTTCAGCAAGTATGTTTTGCTGAAAACCAATCATACATTAACCATGAGGTTGACTGCTATTCCTTAACTTAAATTGATAAATATGGTGGGATCAAACACAGAGCTCCTACCATTCTGTAACTCTGTTACTATATCACAGTATTTGTGGAGGTAGTTTTTTTACGTGAAATCCAAAACCTGGCCTTTCCTCTTCGAAACACAAAACTCAGATCTTTTGTTCTACTGCTTGCCTTTGTAGAGCACTACTGCAAATGTCAACTCGAAGGACAACATACATTTACTAGTTGTGAAGTGCAAATGTGCATGTGAACACACGCTGGCGTCCACATGATTATGAAAACTGATGCAGGCTGCTCTCATATTGCTCTAAAGCATCCCCTCATGCAGAGCAAGGCTCCTGCGTGTCCTGTAGAGTCATGGATGCACTCCTGTCAGCTTCACATATTGCACATATCCTCCAGAAGGCTTCCTCGGGTTTGCAGTGCAGATCCAGATTGGCTGTCTTTTCTTCATACAGTGTGGGGCTCAGGATCAGGCACACTGAGGTTTAGCGCTCTCTTCCTCTCCCGCTGTTTGTTTGATGCTGCAGGCTTGTCCTTGGGTGACCCTCCTGGGAGCCCCCTCCCCCTAAGGCCTCTGAGCTGGAACCATGTGGGACAGATGCTTGGAACTCTCAGCCACACAAAAAGCCTACACATGGAGACCAGGAGAAGCCTTCTACTGCCTTTTATCATTCTGCTCCTAGAGGCCCGTTTTTCATCTCAGCCTGCTGCTCTTGATTTTCTGTCTCCTTCGGCTCTGAAAGGTGTGTCTGTTGGACTCTGTCTTTTTCTCCTCAGTGCTATCATTTCTTCTGTGCTTCCCCTTCTGACTCAGGCACTGAGGTCACACTGTTCAAAGATGGGTTGGGTTCAGAGTTCAAAGATCTCTGCTGAGCTTCTTATCTACTCCTACCAGATGACCCTTTCATTCTTCATTTCCCGCCTCCATGAGGTCTGCTCCTTGTATGGATATTTCCTCCATTCACTGTGTCATACCCACAGATACAATCTGCTCAGTGGTGCCATAAAGAAATTTGGGCACAACAAAAGGATTAATAAACTCCCACACAAGTCAAGGAAGTGCTCTGCTAACTGTTTATAGGCTACGAGGTTGTCTCATCTACCTTGAATAAGCCCTTTTGAAAGTAACCAGTTTGTGTGTAATAAATGTCGTTTGTTCGCCTCAGCCATATTTTCTCTGCCTAGTCATGCACATGACTGTCGCAGCCCAGATAAGTGAGTTATTTCTTCCTGAAGCAGGACAGCTCCTTCAGACACGTCTGCTCGCCATTGTCGCTGTTGTGATGAATTGCTGGCCTGTGATATTTGACTGAGAGGGCAAGGCCATAAATCAGTTGTACCGAAAACTAATCTGCGCTGTGGTTCGCATACTGAGAGCACTTTCTCCCCTTGAAAGTTTGAGAATGTGATAATGGATCAGGCGTAGGATGAGAGAAGAACGGAAATGCTTAACATTTTTAGCCATGCATGACTTTAGGGTTGACATATTCAAACTTTTATTTAATCCAAGATAACCATCTAAAACCCAAAGATATTTAATTTCAATTAAAAGAAGGAGGAATAGACTATTTACATTTAAAAGCTGAATCATAAGGGGATTTTTAGTCCGATGTTCAGGCCACCACTTTTGATTCAGAGGGAAACATCTCAATAATTATATACAGAAATTGCTACAAATTGTATACAGAAATTCATGGTTCCCAGGGGATGATTCTCACTGACACTGTTAGTCCTCTGATGTTTGCTCGTGTGCCACCAGGAGGTTACCTGACATTTGTGGCATTGAGAGAAATGTATCAACAGCTATTGTCATGAAATTTGGTTGAGATATTAATGTTAATGTTCCCCACAGAATGTGCAGCTATCAGGCCAAAGTTTACAACCCCATTATTTTAAGTTTGGTAGCAATTAGTAAATGTTAACACACTACCATAATGTTGTGAACATGCAAACATTAAACCTGGTAAAAATCAACATAATAACATTGTAATGGTAGCCATGCTAGCATTAGCATTTAGCTCAAAGCATCACTATCTATTGCTGCGTTTCCACTATCGGAACCTAGCAACTGGTATATCCTGTACTTCTCCTCGCATAGCCTCCCAGATTGGTGCAGACCATCTTGCTTTGTTTTTCCACTGCCATTTTGTCTCTGTCGGTCTCTGTCTAGAGGAGAGAGGGACTGCTCTCCTCTCACACATGCAGTCAGCTGAGCAGAGGGAGAAGAGATGATTTAAAGCACTGCTCCATAGTGCAACAATCAGCCAGTAACAGAGACTGTATGAGCAGTTTATCAAACAGCTGTTGAACAAGCAGAACACAGACTTGCAGCTTGAGATGTGTAGACACACAACAGACATTTAACCAATCATGGGCAACTGCTCTGCGTGCGTGCACCCCCTCCCCCTTCATGTTCCTGGAACTTGATTTTAGTGCGACCTCCTGAGGGGTGCCGAAGTTTACCAAAGAATGCAGCTCCAAAGAGGGCACACTGCAGTGGAAACAATTGCAGAACCCATGACAATTATGTTTTTGAATTTTCTGTCCATCCGTCTGTAAGTCCAGCCCATTCTTGTGAATTCTTCATTTCAGGAAAGCCTTGAGGAAATTTCTTCAAATTTGACAGAAGAGCTCACTTCAACAGGAATTAACTGATTAGATTTTGGTGGTCAGTGACCTCACATCTGTCCCATTCCCATGAATTTGACTGGTTGGCGGAGGCACACAACCGCATATCGGAAATTTTAGTTTTCATTTGTTACACAGTTATTTGTGGCACTTTTCGTACGAACAGCTGAAGGCAACACTATGAATGTCTTCCTGAAGAGAGTCTGGAAATATGCCCCATTATCCACGCTTTTAAACGATGACATACTGTACTCGTCTCCATGACAACTGAATTTCGAGCCCACTCCATCAGGCATAAACACTTTTGATTTCCGTGCATCGTACAAACTAAGTCGGACCCCCTTTAGAGAGTCTTTCCAGACATTTCTCATTATCCCCTTTTTTCCTTAGCAACTGTCTCATGCTATTGTTTTTGTAGAACCTATGCACAGAATGTCAGACATCTTTTAATGTTACCTCTCTTCAGATAAAGCCACTGGATTAAGAATCTGCTTTGATCAGGGAGGATGAACATGGTTCCTTATTAGTGCTAAAATCAGTGTGCTCTCTTTTAATGCGCCTCATTAGGGCTGCTGTCTGTTTGGGTTTAGCCTCTTGGATGTGTTATGGAGACAGCTAAAGGCCTTGCAGGATTCAAGACTTAATTACCCGCATTAATTAATTTGGCATTTTAATAGGCCGGTGCAGCTCTTGGTGGCAGAGGGGAACATTATCGAGCAGCTCTGAGCGAGAAGAACAGCCCACAACAATGCAAGACATCTTTCTGCTGTGATTCAGCAAAACAGAAACACACCCTACATTTAGGAGATGCAGTCACATTTAAAAAAAAAGTATACCTAGCATGCAGTATGACTGATTGCATGTTTAGTTTGGAACAGCTGGTGCTTCACATTTCATTTTCCCTGCTCCCTTGGGTGAACCTCATTTAAAGGTGAACCTACGGTGCTGTGCTGACAGAGCTAGAGGAGGAAACAGGTGGAGGCTGATTTTGTCAACATCCAGACAGATGGATAAGAGTACAAGAAAGATGATGAGGGGGTGTGAATAAAGAGATGGATGGTTGAAATTCAATAGCATGCAGTTGCCACTGATGTCGGCGGGGTCATTGTCACATCTTTTATAACCAGAGCTTCACTGAAAAGCCTCCTTAGGGTTGTTGATTTGTGTCGGCAGAACATTAGTCAGGGGTAAATGGTTTGTGCCAGTGTGTATTTAACCAATGAAAAGGTGTGAAATGATGACTTCCTGTGAAATCTTGCCACACACAGGAGCCGTAATTGACCCTCAGGCAATCATTTAGAAATGAACCATTCTAATGGATGCACTGGCTAAAACGTTTCAGCTCTACTTTTATGCATGGCTTAAAATACAAAAATATCACTCACTAATTGTGTTATATTTCAATTACAATTTGCTCAGAGTCACATCTGAACAACAGATCACATTGTCTTGATATAATTCTGGTGATTGATTTGTCACCCACACCTGCGGCACGGACACAACAAGCTGTCCATCAGGGCATTAGATCTAACAACAAGCTCATGAGGGGGTTGTTGTCATTATGACAACACCTCTCAAATTACTATGAAGTAAAACTGTAAAGTCCTACCTGCCAAAACCTGAGCCTGTCAGGATGCTGAGTAAACACAGTATTGCTGAAAGAACCGCAAATCACTCAGCATAAAGTGTAGGAGTGTTAACAAGGCTTCTATTTGGCTCCTCAGGGCACTAGTTTAACCCTGATCCCTCTTTAGTCACTCAGTTTGCTCTGCCTCCTCCATGAAGGAATCCTAAGAGCCTATCACCTGGGTATGAACAAATGTTTGCTTAGTCACCCTAGCTCTTTATGATGTCATCGCTCTCTGAAAGGGCTGCCACTGCTGCCATGCAAGTGCCAACTTCATCAGACGCTGTAAATATTTAGCCTGCAGCAATTATAGCAGTGCCGAGCCGCTTTGGAGCAACAGCCTGCTGGGTAAACAGAGGGTGGAGATAGCAAATAAATGAGCAGTGTGCATCTGGCAGCGGCTGAGTGGAGCCACTGTGGTGGCCCAGAGTACTACTCAAAGCAATGACATGTACCTGTGGAAAAGGTCACCGAGGTCTTTGACAGATATCTCACTGCCATCTGCATGTTGTAGATGAGCCCAGACATCCACTTATCGCAGAACACACAGGCTCAACCCACAGGGACAGGAGCTGGGCTAAGTGACCTTTTCCAGAGCTTCTCTTTGTTGTTATGTAGTGAAAGGCTAAGCTGCCTGTCTGCTGTGTCCAACCACATGCTCTGGGAGCCTTTAACAGCACTGGTTTTAATCCCCAACACGTCTTTATTTTGCAGACAATAAAAACAAAATACACAAAAGTTAGTAGTGCAGCTGTAAGCCATACTAATAAAGCTACAGCCGAGTGCAGCTTACATTCACGCTGATGAGTGGGGTACCAGCATGGAGTCAATTAAAACAAATAGACAGTTAGCGCCAACTGCTGCAGTTTGTTTCAAACATTACACTCCTTCTCAATCGGCCACGTCTCAACACACAGACATTCAGTGCAACTTAGAATATCATTATCTCCAATGTCCGTCATGAATAAAGTCATAAATATGCTTTGAAATCATAGAAAAAAACAGAACTTGCTTGAGAATGATTGTTTTATTCGGTTCCAAAGTAATCCAGTTGTCTGTACATCCATCGTACACTGCAAACAAAAACCAATAATAGTTAATTCGGCATATTTTTGATGGTGACAGTTAAGACTCAATAAACAGAACTCAAGTTCTAGTCTACAGCTATTTTTATGGACTCCACAGAAATATTCTGCTTCCTTTTTACATCCTCAACCCCTGCAAAGTATACATAGTAAGACAACAAATACAGGAGTTATAAAATTATTAACTTTTCCAAGTAACACTGTCAGTTTTGTTTGAGGTTTTCAGACACTATAATATCAGTAGGTTGAACATGTGTTGTCGATTAGGGGTGTTCATACAGCGTACAAGGAAGCAGAACAACAAATGACAATGTGTGGTTTGCTCTGACAGGGCTGTATATACTATAAAGTAGATGGAATGTCTTTTTATAGGTTTTTACAGCCTGAAGCGCTTGACCAAGAGTGCGTGACGAGCTAAAAGCAGCTAGGCTATTTATTTCTCTGTTTATTTCAGAGCTGGAGTTGACACACCTAAAGTCCACGGTGTATGTTTCAGCCCTGACCCCCACAGGCCCTGTTGGGATGATGTATGCACGCATAGGAATGCCAACAATGAACACCTTAAATCACTGCAGGCTTGTTCGAATCGAACTTACGAGAACCATATGGACTACTGTTAGTCAGACTCCAGCTCAGATGAATGGCATTCCTTTCCATACTAGGCGACGTACTCTCATTTTCCGTTCCTCTCACTTTCCCCTCATTCCACCTCTGTTACCTTTTTTCATAAATCTCTTTTACAAACCCTTTCCTCCTGCCCCATTTTACTCCCTCCTCACAAACATTAATCCAATACTGAGGTAAGCTCCAAAGACGCCGATTACCTCGGCAATGCAGCGACTCATGACTGGATACTGGGACTAGTCTTCTGCCTCCCAGGAGACTTTCCCCTCTGCCAGGAAGCCATGCTTATGGTTCTTATTTTCAAGCCCTGTTAATGAACCCTGCTCGTTCCAGTGTGCTGATAGTGGTGCATGGGGGCAGCAGAGGAAGGACATTCCCAGCATTCCTTTGTCTGTCCAATGCAGCAAGGAGGTCCACAGCTCTGCTTTTAGGGTAAACAAGACATTGGGGGTAGAGAAGAGGATGGAAACAGTGGGATAAGGTGTGGAAAGCCTGATTAGCACTGATGGGAAAATGTGATAAAAACAAATTAACAGGCTCAAAAAAGCCACAGACATAGAAAAAGCAAGCAGAATTAGGCTTTTTTTGTTTGTTTTTTTACAAGTAGTTAATTGCACCATTACTCTGTAGCCTGTCTGCACCACAGTGCAGCATATTTTAAAGGTGTATTAAATCCTACAGCTCAAAATCCCTGGGTTTAAGAGGGTCGCTCCTCAGTCCCAGTGACCCAATGATTACTTCTCCAGGTTCGGAGAGTTCCATATTTAAAGATTCACAATCCAATCAGCACAACGATAAAACATCTTCTCCAGTACAATGTTAAATCATAAAACCATCATCTCTTTAGATGAAGGTTGTGCTCACAAAGGAAAATGGGTTAGGATTATTCCTATTTTCACAAGGCGCTGAAGTTTTTCTTTTGTTCATTTTATGACTAAAACTGAACCACAGTTTTATGTTTTACTTGGTTTTACTAGTTGAGCTAAAGTACTGGGCCCTTGGTTGAAATGTAAAAAAGATCTCTGAGATGGATCAGGGCGGTGGCGGGGGTCCTCCTCTGCTACTAAATTATCTCGGTGCCGTTTTAAAGATATTTAAAAGTTTATTATTTATTTGTGTGAACAAATAAATGTTTTCCACACACCTCACAAAAGACGAAAACAACACCTCAACAACAACAATGGGACCAGCTGTAGCTCCAAAATGTTTAGAAAATATAAACAATTTTTTAAAATGACAAAAGTTAGACAAATTTATTTAGTTTTTGTTGGCTAAGACAAAAATCAAAGACTAAAATATGAGTAAAAATAACTGAATTCAGGTGTGAAAATTAAGACTGCCTGGGTTCTTTACAAATATCCTGAAGCAGGGAGGATGTTGAGTCATCTCTGTTGCCCACTGTAGTCACTTTTGTCCTCAGGTCATCTGAGGACTGGGAACGTAAATGAGCCTGCCACCCATTACAGAGAGCTGGGTGCTGGGAGGAGGGATGTTTGTGTTTCTGAGTCCGTGTCTGTCGTTGTCCTGGTGTCCTTTTTTTTTTAGACAACAGTTCTGATTGTTTCTCCCCTTGCTGTGATCGGACAGGTGGTGACCCCGACCAGAGTGGGACAGTCCTACACCTACAGCCCAGGCCAGCACAACCAGCAAGACCTTTATGACATCCCACCCAGCAGATCACAGGGGGTAGGTATCTCATGTTCCCACAGCCTGTATGACCTTTTCCGTCTACTTAAAAAAGCTAATAATACATTCCAGATTTGTGTTACTGCCTATTTAGATTTGTGTTATTGCTCATCGCCTTTATATTTCACTTGTATTATGTGGCATTCATGTGGACGGCAAAGTAAGCATTTCATTGTACAGGGAAACACGTTTCCTAACTGTGCCTATGACAAAAACACTTTGACCTTGAACCTAGTGCAAATATAATAAGATGAGTAACTGATTCAAAGGGGCATTGCATTTAAAAATGTTAGAAAATCTCCCAAAGTAGCAGCTAAGCATAAATTTAATAAAGGAAATTCAAAAGAAAGTGAAACGTCCATGTCAGAATCTTCCATGAAAAGTGCTAAAAGCAATATTTGTCTTAATTTTACTACACTATACTTGTGATTTTATGAGTCTGAGCTAAACAAACATGGTGCTGTTTTAGTCAATTTAATGCACATGCCCACCTTTTCAAGCATCCACTGGTTTCCAGAATTGAAAACTAGTTTATTAGATTTTTGAAACTTGAGTTGTATAATCCATCACAACAAACCTCATTTTGTCAGAGTTGCATTATAGACAAATTAATGCAGACTTGTGGTTTGCTGTGATAAATTACACAGCTAGAACAAGTTTAAAGAGTCTGCTGAATGATGGATTTTCATACTAAAACTGATGGAAGCCAATGGCTGCCTGCAAATAAAAAAATATCTCTGAAGCTACAACTTTGAACTTACTTGGTCTTTCAATCTGCAAAAGCAATTTTTGTTTATTTTAGGAAAATGTAGCGACATTAAGGAGTGTTTTAGGCAAATACAGAAGTACCTCCGTACTTGTCACTCAATCTTAAGAAATGACACTGGCGGAAAGGAAACTGATTAACATATTAACAACTTTCAAATAACTGCAGAAGGAAGGCAATACTAACTGGATGCATCTCACAGAAACATGCGTGTACAACAGTTTACTGGAGATAAGCAAACAAACCGGAAGCACATACGCAAAATAAGCCAATTAGTAACCACCCTTACGTATTTTCGCTTGATAAAATAATCCATGGTGCTTGAAAAACACCTCCAGTATAGCACAAAACTCACCTTTATGGGCCTTGTCCTAGTGTAGTTCAGAGTGTACTCACTACTGCCCCTGGTGGTCGGGGGATACAGGTCGGCACGACTGCCATACAGAGAAAGTTAAACCTCTCTAGGGTGTGTTGTCTTTTACACATTACATTATACAAAAGCCGCTGATTTATTATTTAGTAAGTGACATTTTTCATATATTTCTTAATGTTTTAATATCGTGATAAATATATTGTGGAAATGTAATCATGGCAATAGAGTACCTTGGGTTTTTGATATCGTTACATCCCTAATCACATGAAATCATCCCATTTTTTAAAGAATACATTAGGTCTTTGTGATCATAACTAATACTTTTACTCCTTGCTTGGTGTTTACATTACAGTACTTTCATATTTCAGGTGTATGATACTCCACCTAGTCAGACGTTTCCTGGTCAGCACGGCGCTGCTAGAAACCAGGGAGTCTATGACGTTCCCCCATCTCAAATGGACCTCAGGACACAAGGTGTTTATGACATACCTCCATCATTACAAGAGGTAAGAGAACATTTGAACATCCAGTCCCACCACAATGAAAGGACACATCATTCATACACAGTCAAATATAGTTGAATTAAGGAAGTGGTAGCCGGGTATGTCCGGAAAATGTTTTATATTCATTGATACAGTTCCTAGTATTTCTCTTAATTGTCTGCAATAAATGAATAAAATGTCAAATGTCATATTAATAACATTCTTGCAGCTGCACTAAATGACAGCTTTGTCTGCCAGTAGACTTTAACCAAAACTCCATGAGTACGGTTCTGTGTCTGAACTCTCCAGCAGGGAAAAAAGGCAAGGACATAACTCTTTTCTTTCCAGGCCCTCTAAGATTTCACCAGGCTTCCAGATCCGACCGGGCAGAGAGCCATCAGTTTGTTTGTAATAACCTGAAATATGCCAGGACCCATTATTTGCATCATTCCTAATTATAGTTTGGGTAAGCCTGTCTAGCTGTAAAGAGTGCATTTAAAGGCTGATGGAAATCACTTACAGGCCACCATTTTCTTCACCTCACTGCGCTCCCTTCATGCTCTGTGCCATCAGGACACACACACTGCTCTGACAAGATAATGTGAGGTTGAAGCTTTGTTGTGCTCAGATGCTGCATTAGAGGAAGGAATAAAAAAGGCAGAAGCTTTGAGGTTTCAAAAATAGTGTCTACACAAGCCAGAAACAGTTTTTCATGTACAGTCTCTGACTGTACTCCTGCTGTACAAACTGTAGCCGACATTCAATGTGTTTAAATCCACTTAATGGGTTAGAGTCAACTGTTTCCAGTAGGCTGATTCCTTAAATGTCATGTAAACGAAAACCCAGCTTCTGTAATGAGGGTAGGGAGATTAGAGAAACCTGATTTCTCAGCTAGATTTTTTTCCTGGGGATTGCAGATTTCTTGGCATCTATGTAGGAAGCCAGGTTTTTAAATTAACTTTTTACAGTGTGCACATGTTGAAAAGTAACAGAAGAAAAACTGGATTAAAGGTATCATTACACATAGCAACATGTTCTTGTATCTAAAATATTTAAATTCAAAATCTGAAACTAAGACAGTATCCTAGGCAGAGATCAGTTTACTGAGCTGTTGCATGTATACACAGATGTGCATATTAACAAAAAGCATCTAAACACATCCTCTGATTACCTGTGAAACCTGGTTTCTCTGAGTAATGCGGTTACTTAAGTACATTATGGTTCTGATGTATGGGGAAAGATGGTCTGTTGATGTTTGATATAAACCTAGATTAATGATCACATTGATTATCATGATCTGATATGGGTTCAGGTGGACACACTGATTGTGCTGCATGGTTCAGAAATCACGCTGGTAATAACCTTAATGACTGTCCTCTCCCACAGGTCTACTCGGTGCCTCCCTGCAGGACCAGCCCCGCCCTCCAGGAGGGAAACTACGACTTTCCGCAGCCTCTCAAACACAAGCAGGAAGGCATCTACGACGTACCACCACCCACCCTCTCTAAGCCCGCACAGAGCCCCCAGTCACATTATGATTTCCTGCCCAGTGCAGAACCTCCTGCCCATCGACAACACCCAAATACCAACGTCAATGAAGGCATTTACGATGTGCCTCCGCCCGCCCTTCATTCAGGGGCAGGGTCTCAGAGGGACATATATGACATCCCTCGAGGCATGCAGCCCTCTCAGCACAGAATCTCGCCTGCTGACAGGGACGGAAGCAAAGGCATCTATGACATCCCTGCTCAGGATGCTCGAGCAGTAGCAGATGTGACTGACGGTGTGAACCGTTTATCTATCTCCAGTACCGGCAGCACACGCAGCAGTATGTCCACCTCATCATCCTCCACGGGATCCAGCTCTGAGGGTCGCCTCACTCTGGATGTAGACACTGCTGTCCAGAGGTTGTACCGCCTGCAGCAGGCAGTGGAGGCCTCAGTTGGGGCTTTACATTCAATGGCAGCATCCCCTCACTGGAGGACTTTTCCCTTCATGGAGCACCATGCTAATGACGTCCGTACAGTGCTAGACAGGGTCCGAGCCACTCTGGGGGACTTCATTGTGTTTGGTAGAGGAGCCACAGCAAACGCAACGTCTCTGTCAGACTCCAGCCTGCACAGTAAGCTAAGACGGCAGCTGGGACGACTGGAGGACGCGCAGCAGATCCTCCTGCAGATCTACCAAGTCCTGGAGAACTGCAGCTGGGCTTTGAATGCCTTGGCCTCCTCTGGAAAGCAGCACAATAAGAGCGACGACCTGGACCGCTTCATCATGGTCTCCAGGACTGTTCCAGATGATGCCAAGCAGCTGGCCTCCACGATAGGCAGCAACGCTGAGCTGCTGTTCAGGCGGACACACATGGATGGGTCTTTCTCTATGGGGAGCACACCTGATGAGAACATTACCCACCTGCTCACCTCCCCCTCCTCAGATAATGATAACTATGGGGGCCAGACCAAGCCCTTCCCTGTGCCATGCAGCCAGGACAAAGACAACATGAACAACGGTGAAAAGTGTGTGAAGAGCTGGATGGAGGACTACGACTATGTACATCTGCAGGTAAATCCTTGGTCTAGACATCAAAGATCATCACGTTAAAGCCTTGACTGGTAGAATTTTATTGTAATTATAGCAGCTTTAAAATTGGTTTTTGATTTATGTAAAAATTAGACAATCCTGGTGAGAATCGGTGCAGCCAGTGTTGTTGTTCTGTTAGGTCAGAAATGTTCAAGTCATAGGGGCTTTATTATGTAACTGATCACATCTCTGTGAGTGCTTCAGTGGGAAACCTTGGATTCCTACACAGATTTTCTAAGCTTAGTATTTAGTCGTAAATGAGTGGGTTATCCCAGCTACTATGTAGAGTACTGTGTACGATTTTGTACAGTCCATCAGTATATTGGGATTTTAAAGACCCTTGACCTACTCTCACTGCTGTGTTTTCAGTGACTTTAAACCACAGCGAGTGTCTGTAAATAATGTCGATCAAACCTGGGCTTTGAATGCGACCACATTTGGATGCACTTCCTCACTCACTCGTCTTCCTTCACAGGGCAAAGAGGACTTTGAACGCCAGCAGAAGGAGCTGTTGGAGAAAGAAAACATTATCAAGCAGAGTCAAGTCCAGCTGGGCCAAGAACAGGTGAGGCTTTGGTTCTCTTTACAAACTCTGAGTTACCGAGATTGGTACTTCTTTATTATTGATGTTGCTTATATTAATATTTATTGTTATAGAGTTTCCAAGGGCTTTAACCATTTTAGTCATATAACTATCCAAAATATGCTTGTGTTTTGACTGTTGGAAGACGAACTGCAGCTTATGATGACAGTATTTTCTTCCATCCATCCATTTTCCTCCGCTTATCCGGGACCGGGTCGCGGGGGCAGCAGTCTAAGCAAAGATGCCCAGACTTCCCTCTCTCCAGACACTTCCTCCAGCTCCTC